TTTCATGCCTTAGGTGGGACTAGAACTCCCAGTCTCCTGGTGATTGGATCAAAGTTGCCCAGCCAGCTCCCATGCCTAAAGTGAGACTAGAACTCCCAGTGTCCTGGTGAGTGGTTCTAAGTCATCCAGCTGGCTTTCATGACTAAGGTAGGAGTAGAAGTTACAGTCTCGTAATGACTGGCTCAAGGTCACACAGCTGGCTTTCATGCCTAAGGCGGAACTAGAACTCACTGTCTCCTGGTTTATAGATCAGCACACCTAAACCACTACTATACAATGATGGTTTCTCCATGATTATTGTCTCTGTTCCTATCTAGAATACATGCCCATCCCATAATAGCTTTCTATCAACTCAGGATGCTTTCTCAACGACACCCAAGGGATATCGGAGGTACACAGTCCCATCATCCACTTCTCATCTTCTCGAAAGCTAAAAAGTGGCTGAAGTGCCACAAAACGCTCCCTCAGCCCTGCCCAAAATGTCAGAATCCAGGAATCCAGAAGCGACCCGGGGAGCATAACAAGTCTTTCACTCCCATGTTCCACAGCCCTGTCCACCCACGTGCATTGGTCTTGGAATGCCTGTCCATAAAACTCTTATTGTGTTTCCATCTGTGGACCATAGACTCCAGTCTTGAGTTCAAAAAACCCCAGAGATGTTTTCTCCAGCCACTGATCAACCACAATGAGCCTCACTCAGCTCTGACATCGCACACAAAAAAACCCGTCCATGGCGCTTCAACACCAATGTGCAATACAGGTAGTCCTCGACTTACGACCGCAACGGAGCCCAACATCTCTGTGGCTACGCAAGATAGTTGCAAAGTTGGGGTGGGTGGGTGTTGCCCCATTTTAACAACCGTTTTTGCCACAGTTGTAAAGTGGAATCTCTCTGGCTTTTAAGTTAGAAAATCACAGTCGTTAAGTGAACCTGGCTTTCAGATGGTCGCAAATGGGGATCCAGGGACACTGCGACCGCCATCAATATGAGTCAGCGGCCAAGTGTCTGAATTTTGAACACGGGGAGGTTGAAAGCGTGAAAAACGGCCATGCCTCTTTTTTTAGTGTGCCGTTGAAACTTTAAACGGTCACTCACTGAATGGTCGTAAGTCAAGGACCACACGTCTATCTGTGTGTGTGTGTGTGTGTGTGTGTGTGTGTGTTAGCAAAAATTCTTATTTTTCTTCAGAAACTTAAAATATAAGCTCCAATTTATTTTATTTTTTTTATTTTTTTACAAAATCAAAAGAAAAACAGACGAAGTATTTTGTTTTTTTTTAATATATATTTGTATTTTGTACTTGGCAAAATATTTTCCCCTTTCCTCACCTGAATGATGATAGGCTTGCAGTCCACATCTCCGTTTTCATCCAGATCATTTCCCACGTAGAGAATGACTCGGGGATCCGGGAGTGGCCCCAGGCCTTCCTGGTATAGCTCCAGCGCTGTGAATTTGAGACAGAAGGATCAGCACTAGCAATTCAACGAGGGCTCGAAGACGGACCTCAGTCCAAACGCTGGTGCGTGAGCTGAGCTGTTTTTTAGCTCAGCTGAAGCGCGGCGATCCGTTCTGCCACACAAATCAGTTGAGCTAAAAAAAACAAGGGAACACGGTAGAACCTCGGGTCGTGAATGCTCCTGTACGTGACCAAATCGGGGGACGACCAACAATTTGGGAAAATGGTTGCTTCTGGTTGGGAACAGATCCTCGGGTGCCGATCAGTACAGCCGTGGCGATTTCCCCTTCCGCGCATGCGCAAAACTGTAGGCGAATGTGCAGACGGTTGTGCTTCCAGCCACAATGAAATCGGGTCATGACTGTAGTCCTGGAAGGGATTATGGTCGCGACCCGAGGTTCTACTGTATAGGAGAGCTAGCAGGGGTGGATGGGCCAGAGGTGATATTTGCCAGTTCTCCGAACTAGTCAAAATTTCCACAACTGGTTCGCCAGTACCGGTCTGAACCGGCTGAATATCATCTCTGTACAGGTAGTCCTTGACTTACGACCACAGTGAAAGGGCCCGAATTTTCACGATGGTGATTAAGTCGAGTCACCACAGAACTGCACCTGTTTTTATATTTATACTTTTTCTCTTTGTATACAATAAGTGCTTAGCGAATAGTATACTGTCTGAGTCAAATTCATTTATGTGTGACATGATTAAACTCCTAATTTCTACGTCTGTTGTCCAACCATTGATAAAACAGGTCCCAAGTTTGAAAATATTCTGTGGCTCCTTTTTCTTTTATCGTCAATGTTAATCTGTCCATTTCTGGCACAGTCTAAAATATTTTTTTAACTATTTCTTCCTCTGTGGGTGTTTCCTCATTTTTCCAGTGTTGCACAACTACCATTCTTGCTGCATTCAAAACATGTAATATAAAACATACATACCCTTTATCGTATTTCTCTGGTAATATGCCTAACAAAAATAATTCTGGTTTGTAATCTATATCCTGCTTTAACGTTTTTTCTAACTACATATGCACATATGACCACGCTTGATTTATGGAGGTCGCCATTTCAGCCGCTGTCAAATTTGTGAATCCCATTATCATTAAGTGAATCCGTTGGTCATAAGTGCAAATCCAGCTTTCCAATGGTATTTATTGTGCAGAAAATTGGAATAAAATAAAAGCCATGAAATGGCAATCTGATTGCAAAAGGTGAGCTAGTTGTCAAGTCACCAAATTGCAATCATAGAATGATTAACAGATTTAACAGAGTTGGAAGGGGCCGTTGTAGGTCATCTAGTCCCACCCCCTGCCCAAGCAGGAGACCCTACACCATTTCTGACAGCAGTCCAGTAATGGCTAGGGGCAGTGCCATGGTTTGAGACATTTCTAATCTGAACCCTAGGTTGCGACTTTTTTCAAGCCGGTCGCAATTTCAAACCGTCATTAAGCAAATGGCCGTAAGTTGAAAACCTCCTGAAGTTGCTACATATCTTAGGACATGGATATGAGCTGGAAATTATAGCTAGAAACACTTGTTAAGATGGACACTTGACAAACACTGAGTTCAATACAGGTAGTCCTTGCCTTATGACCACAATCGAGCCCAATATTCCCACTGCTAATCCAGACCGTTGTTATGTGAGTCTGGTCCCATGTTATGACTTTTCTTGCCACAGTCACTTGGTGAGTCACGGCAGTTAAGTGAGTAACACGTCAGAAGATTGCAAAGGTCATGACCCCAGGACGTCATAAATATGAACCAGTGGTCAAGCGTCTAAATTGTGATCACGTTTAAAATATTGAGCAAAAATCCATAACTATTTAGAGAAAAATGATAAAACAGCATATTGATTTGAAACCAGAGATATTTTTGCTGGGCACTTTACCAGATAAATATAATAAAGGGAATACATATTTGATTATATATGTACTGACTACAGCCAGAATTGTATTAGCGCAACAATGGAAAAATGAAGAGATCCCAACTGATGAACAAGTAATTAAAAAAATATTAGAATGTGCAGAAATGGAGAGACTAATACTTATAATCAAGGTAAAGAAAGAAACTGAATACTTTCTGACTTGGAACTTATTTTATCAATGGCTAGCTGAAAAAAAACAAGCTAGAAACAGGGAAATATATGAAAAGGTTCAGTGACATAAGGAAGATATGCTGAATTGGTTAAAACAAATAATATTGTTATTATTACTACTGTGTTTCTCCAAAAATAAGACCAAGTCTTATGTTAATTTTTGCGGATGCAATAGGGCTTATTTTCTGGTTAGATCTTATTTTGGGAGGAAACACGGTTCTAAATGCATCACTTAACTGGAGCTTATTTTCAGGATAGGGCTTATATTACGAGCATCCTGAAAAATCATGCTAAAGCTTATTTTCCAGTTGGGTCTTATTTTCAGGGAAAGAGGGTAACGCTACCATAATTCCCAAATGCCATCACTCTGCTAAACAAATAATTTCCTCAACACTGTCCAACTATTTACAAAGTCTGCACTTCTATTAATCTTCTCATCACTTCTTACCACCCATCCCTTCCCACTTGTGACTGTATGACTGTAACTTTGCTGCTTGTATCCTTACAATTTTTATTGACTTTTCTAATATGATTTGATTGCTATGACTCTCATTAAGTGTTGTACCTGATGATTCTTGACTCTTGACGAATGTATCTTTTCTTTTTATGTACACTGAGAGCATTTGCACCAAGAAAAAATTCCTTGTGTGTCCAATCAACTTGGCCAATAAAGAATTTTATTCTATTCTATTCTATTCTATTCTATTCTATTCTATTCTATTCTATTCTATTCTATTCTATTCTATTCTATTCTATTCTATTCTATTCATATCAATGTAATGAACATTATCATAAACATTTTGATTGTTATTTCCTAAAACTATATGGACCCAGTCAACACACTGTTCAATTGAAATTGGAATTTTTATATGTTATAAAATAAAAACGTTAAATAAAATTGTGATCACATAACTACTGGGATGTTGCAATGGTCATTAATTGTGAAAAAAACGGTTCTAAGTCACTTTTTTTAGCGCCGTTGTAACTTCAGTCATTAAAAGGACCGTTGTGCAACGGAGACCACATGACTGGGGAATGCTACGACGGTCGTAAGTACGAGGGTTTATCAAAAGTCTCTTTTTAGTGCCAGCATTAATTTTGAATGTTGGATAAAGGGATGGTTTTAAGTCAAGGAATAGTTATAACCCTTTTTGTGTGTGTGTGAGCTTACATGGAAACAAGATGGACTGTTTTGTTCAGTTTGCCTGGTTCTCACCTGACCGAAATTCCCGGGATTTGAACAGCTGCTGGTGAGTGTTATTCTCCAGTTTGATTTGGCCTTCGGGGGCCAAAAATCCTGACCACGAGACATGGACTTTATCCCGGCATAGAATGAAGATCCCTCCATGGTTACTGGCCACCATGATGCCTTTTACCAAATCCTTGAGCCGACGTTGAACGATCTTCTGCTTCAGCTCATCGGCCATGGTAACTGGGGCCGTTAAAACAAAACGTTTCAAACAATTGGGACCATTCAGCGATTCTGCGACCGACGTAAAGAGATATTCGCCTTCCGGTAACAAGTATCTGCAGGGCGGTTCGCCCGCATAGGAGATGGACACACAAAGAGAAAAATCCTCTGAAAACCAAAACCGATATTAAATTCAATATTAATTGAATTGATCCTTCTGATTTTCCCGCGATCTGATTCGGCTGGTCCTTGACTTACGACCATAACGCCGACTGGAATTTTTGTTGGCTGTCATTGTGGCAGTTAAATCGAATCATCACACAACCAGATTTTACAATCATTTTTACAGGGGTCATAAGTTGAGTTGCTGCCGTTGTTAAGTGAAGCATAGGGTCGTAAGTGTGAATCCAGCTTAACCAATGGTGTTTGTTGTTGTTGTTGAAAACAGGGGTGGGGTGGGGAGTCACAAATTACCACAGTTGGGGCTGCAATGTCCATCCTATGTCATTGCGGTTGTACGTTGTGTCATCATATGACCGGACTTGATTTTACAACTACTTTTATAGCAGTCATAAACTGAGACACTGCAGTCTTTAAGAGAAACACATGGTCATCTTAACCAATGGTGTTTCCCCCACCCCCCAAAAAAAAAACTGGTTAAAAAAATGTCATGAGAGACCACCACAAGGAGCAGAATTTCCATCATTAAGTCATTGTGGTCGTAAGTCGAGGATTATCCATTACCACGAGGATCGTGGCATCCACAAGTTGTCATGTGAAGAAGACAACGAGGGGACCATGTTGGAGAAGTATCTCCATCGGCTTTCAAAGAACAACACTGCGGTAGATCAGGGAATATCTGATCTGCTGGGTGCTTACGACCTCTCCATCAGACCTTTCTACAAAGGGACCACAAACTCCATGACATTATCACTACACACCCATAATCCTTGTCTCCTAGACCTCTTTCAGAGCAGGATTTTTCAAGCTTGGCCACTTTAAGGCGCATGGACTTCCACTCCCAGAAGTTTCCCCAGCCAGCTCTTTTGTCCACTTTGCTAAAATCAAGATATATTATGTTGACCGCATTCCCGCTATCCAGAGTGGGCTGCTGCCAGTTCGGACTGGTTCGCCTGTACCGGTAGTTCTGCCCTGGTTTTATCCCGTCCTATATATCTCACTCTCTGGCTTGCTTGCCCCACCCACGCCCGCTCTACTCACTGTGGCTTCCCAAGGATTACTGAAAGCCGTGCAATTTAAACCACTATGTGTTTGAAGCCGCGCACTTACGTTATCTTGGAGTCTTCGTGGACAACCTGCTAAATATGAGCCAGCAGTGTGCAGCAGCAGCCAAAAAAGCTAATGCAATCCTAAACTGCATTAACAGAGGGATACAATCCAGATCAAGGGAAGTACTAATACCACTCTATAAAGCCTTAGTAAGGCCACACCTAGAATACTGCATCCAGTTTTGGTCACCACATTATAAAAAGATATTGAGACTAGAAAAAGTGCAGAGAAGAGCAACCAGGATGATGAGGCTAAAACTTACGATGAACGGTTGCAGGAACTGGGCCTGGCTAATCTAGGGAAAAGAAGGACCGGGGGAGACATGACAGCAGTCTTCCAATATCTGAGGGGCTGCCCCAGAGAGGAGGAAGGGATCAAGCTATTTTCTAAAGCACCCGAAGGCCAGACAAGGAATAATGGATGGAAACTGATCCAGGAGAGATTCAACCTGGAAATAAGGAGAAAACTTTCTGACAGTGAGAACAATCAACCCATGGAACAGAAGTTGCCCTCAGAAGTTGTGGGAGCGCCATCACTTGAGACTTTCAAGAAGAGATTGGACTGCCATTTGTCAGAAATGGTGTAGGGTCTCCCGCTTGGGTGGGTGGGGGGTTGGACTAGATGACCTACAAGGTCTCTTCCAACTCTGATTATCTCTTATCTGTTATTTTCAATTCTGCACTAGGTGAACTGGTTGTTAAATTATGGTGAAGCCCGCCTCTGCCACTATCTATTAAGAAAATTATCCTATCCTAAAATGCGATGAAGGTAGTTTAGCCACATTGGTTCAACTACTTTCATTGCATTTTTGGATAGGATAATTTTCTTAATAGATAGTGGGAATGCAGTCGATGTAATATACTCTGGTGAACCCTTGCTGGCTGGGGAATTCTGGGAGTTGAAGTCCACACGTCTTAAAGTGACCAGGGTCCAGAAACTGTGCTTCACAGAAAGATCCTCCCAGCTCGGGGATCTCACCTATTGGTCTAGTAGCAGCCCCCATCAGAGGGCTGAGATCCGTCTCCAAGCTGACGGCGATCATCTCGTTCATTTCCGGTGCTGCGGGAATCAAAGAAACAAGGAACGGTAAGCCCAAATGATCTACCCCCTTTCTCGTGACCACACTATCCTCACCTAATTTGCTGCAAATGAGGGTAACGAGACGTCCCACTGATTCACAAGTGCCAGTTATCTACCTACTAGCAGTGATTCATTTGGTAAGAATCGATTTCAGGCAGGAATCTACTGCAAGTAACTTCCAAGGAGGCTATTCAACGCTGATGTCTAAGTGGACAATGAAGCTCCCCCACCCAACCACAGGCCCCACATATAGGTAGTCCTTGACTTACAACCACAATCAAGTGCAAAATTTCCATTGCTAAGTAAAACGTTCGTTTAAGTGAGGTTTTTTTTTTTTTTGATTAAAATTTGTATTTTAAACAGACAAACAAAACATAAAACCACCTTCCAGTTACATACAGTGTGTCCGTTGGTTACAAGTCTTTTGTGCTTCATCTCCATAGTCCTCATTAATAGTTTGTATAAATTGTCATATTATCCATCTAGTATATGTGTATATATATATATGTATTATTATCATTGTTAATCATTTATTTGACTATAACTATTATTCCATCATTTTATGTGAGACATTCAACATTTTGGATTAATTTATATTATAACATTCAATACCCCATCATAAATCCATCCAATAATAATACATCCTTATGTTATAGCCTGTATAATTCTATTATTCTTATATTATAAAGTTATCTGATATATCATTTCCCTATTTTTTAATCTAACCATTGATAAAATAAATCCTATATCTTGTAATATTGTTTATCTTCTTGTTCTCTAATTTCAAATGTCAATTTACTCATTTCAGCACATTTCATTATATTCTTAATGACTTCCTCCTGCGTTGGTATTTTCTCACTTTTCCAATTTTTCCCTAACACAATTCTAGCTGCTGTTAATACATTTACAATCAAATATTTCAATTCTCTACTATATATTTCTGGTAAAATGCCCAAGAAATTGTCTAAGTGAGTTTTGCTTTGCCCCATTTTACGACACTTGTCTGTGACTTGGTTAAACAAGTCGCTGCCGTGGTTCAGTTAGTCACACGGGTAATCCCCGGGCTACCATCATAAATATGAGTCAGTTGACATGTGTCTGAATTTTGATCATGTCACCGCGGGGATGCTTTCGTAAGTGTGAAAAATAGTCGTCACTTTTCTCAGTCCCGTTGTAACTTTGAACAGTCACTAAGCGACTGGTCGCAAGTCAGAGACAAACCTGATCTCAGAATCGCTTTGAATTCTCACGCACAGATGATTTCTCAGTCAATGACCTGTCTGGATAGTCCTTGACTTACAACAGTTAACTTAGTGACCGTTACAACGGCACTGAAAAAAGTGACTTATGGCCGTTTTTCACACTTACGACCCATCAGGCAATCAAAATTCAGACGCCTGTCAACTGACTCGTGTTTATGACGGTCACAGTGTCCTGGGGAGAAGGGGGTGTCACGCGATCCGCGACCTTAGGACAAGCCATGTCCTTAGGGAAGCCACATACCAACTGTGTGACTAACTTAACAGCCGCAGTGACTCACTGAACAACTGTGGCCAAATAGGTCGTAAAGCAGGACGGAATTCACTGAACAGCTTAGCAACAGAAATGTTGGGCTTAATTGTGGTCGTTAAGGGGAGGATTTTACCTATGCAACGTCTCCTGTGGGCAAGAGACCCACTCTCTTGGGGCCATCTGCTCGCCACAAACCCGCCACACCATGGGTCTGGGGCACAAACCACGACTTACAGGCAGGGGTGGGATTCCACTGGCATAACAACCAGTTCAGGGATCGTGCGCGTGCACTCTGCATTTAAAAAAGGCAAGCGCATACTTACCTTCAACCGCAGCCTCCGTAAAGAAAACAACTGAGGCGCAGCAAACCGCTCTGCCGCGCGAATCAGCTGTGCTCTAAATAGAGGCATAAAAGCACAGGAAAGCGCACTTCCTCGTTGCAGCGAACCAGTTGGGAGCGAGCTGAACATCGGAGCAACGGATTTGCCTGAACCGGTAGAATCTGCCCCCCCGCCCCGCCCCCCGCCCCCCGCTTATGGGACCGTGTGTCATTCCCCTACCTGGTTCAGCGGCCTGAGGACTGACTTCCCTGTTCTGGCAGTTGGGCAAGTTGAAACCATTGAACAGTTGGCTTGCCATGACTTCTGGGGTGGGGGTCTCTGCCTGCGGGACCAAGAGAGAGGGTGGTTGGTCTGCTGGCCAAAAGGCCCCCTAAGTTCTTCGCACAACTTCTTTGCCTTCATTAACAGCCAGGCCAAAGGAAGAAATGCAAGCAGATGTTGTACAACTTCAAACCCAACCAGAAATTGGAGGGGGAGGAGGAGGAGGAGGAGGAGGAGGAGGATAACACAGTTGAAAGGAACCCTGGAGGTCTTCTAGTCCAACCTCCTACCCAGGCAGGAAACTTTACAAATGAGTGTCCAATCTCTATTTAAAAAGGATAACGAGGAGGAGGAGGAGGAGGACGGTGGGAAAAGGAGGAGAAAGGAAAAGAGAAGGAGGAGAATGGGAAAGAAAGAAGGAGAAAGAAAAGGAGGAGAAAGATGGGGAGGAGGAAAGGGGGAAAGATGTAGGGAGCGAATAAGGAGAAAGAGGAGAAGAAAGAAAAGGACGAGGAAGAAAAGGAAGAGAAAGGAAAAGATTAGAAGTAGTAGAATGAGAAGAAAGGAGATAGAGGAGAAGGAGAGGAGGGGGAGAAGGGAAAGAGAAAGGGAAAAGGGGGGAACGAGAAGGAGAAAGAAGAGATGAAGAAGAAGAAAGAAAAGGAGGAGGAGGAGGAGAAGGGAAAGAGGAGGAATCCAAACAAGGCAAATCATTTCCTGAAAGATTATTAGGTTATATCAGTAGTTCTCCACCGTGGCTGCTTTAAGACATGTGGACTTCAACTCCCAGAATCCCCCCGCCACTGGAGTTGACGTCCAGGCCTCTTAAAGCAGACACGGCCCAGGGGCAGATCTGTTTCCAGTCCGTAGGGTCCTTTCTCTCTTGCACGGAGCAAGGCGTGGGGACAGAGCGAGACCCCTCCTCTATCTTGGCTGGATCCGGGCCAGGGCTCCCCACTGGGGTCTCAACCAGCCCCCATCTTCCCTCCTTACGCTTTCCAGTAGCAACAGGGAATTGGCTGGCGGCTTCCTCTCCTCCCGGGGACTCGCTGCCTCTGGGCTGCCGGAATCATCCATTTTCACCTGCTTTGTGTTCTGCCTTTTCACCTTATTGCCTTGGAAGAAAGAGAAGACGGGATCTTAAACCCAATTTACGCCATATCCTGTTTTTCCCAACAACCCTGCAAGGTAGGCCAGGTCAGAAAAAAGATAGTAAGGATTACAGGAAGGCTGGGCCTGTATGTCTCAACCTCTTGCTTTAAGAGGCAAGGACTTCAACTCCCAGAATTCCCCAGGCAGCGTGGAAGTGGATGTCCACCCATCTTAAAGCATGCTGGGAAATGAAGTCCATCCATTTTAAAGCATGCTGCCTGGAGAATTCTGGGAGTTGAAGTCCACAGCTCTTAAAGCAAGGGGCCTAAGGATTTCTGGGAACTAAAGTCTTCCTGTCTTAAAGCATATTGTCTGAGGAATTCTGGGAGTTGAAGTCCACCCATCTCGGGGCACGCTGGCTAGAGAATTCTGGGAATTGAAGGCCTCACCTCTTAAACCAGGTGGCTAGGGAGTTCTGGGAACTAAAGTCTTATTTTAAAGCATACTGTCTGAGGAATTCTGGGAGCTGAAGTCCACCCATCTTAAAGCTGCCAAGTCTGAAAAACACTGCTTTAAAATCTCTCAAAATGGCTGCTACTTCTCGAATGCAGCGCGTCGCACCAAGGTTGAACCATCTGAGATGCAGAAATTCAAAATATCTGGGCCAGGATTGGGAAACCCGGGTTCAAATCTTCCTTCCTGCTGCTTTCCTTCCTGACTGGCCTACCTGGAAAGTGGATGCAAGGCAAAAAGTAACAAAGATCCATGGAGGCCATCTAAGGTTTTCTGGAAGAAAAGTGAGATACCGGATGGAATTGATAATATCCAAATTCTGCAATTCCTACAGAGGAGGAGATCAGTCGGCGGAAAACATCCGGGTTCTCCCACCTGCCCCCACAAGACATGTTCCTGGACCAGCTTGGTATTGCCCTCAGGGTCACGCTGGCTGGGGCTGATGGGAACTGGAGTCCCACGTAGCTCTGTAAGGCACCCGGAAGGTTCTGCAAAGAGAGAATCGAGCGCATTTCCTTACCCGTCACCTGTTCCAAAAACGGCACCAAGCGATACACTTTGTAAGGCTCCGAGACGTCTAGCCGGGAACGGGACGGCACTTCCTCAAACTCGGGACTTTTGCTCAAAGCACAGCGGACACGGGTTTTCCAAGTGGCTGGGTTGCATTCTCCAGGGATGTACTTTCCTTTGTAGATAGCCCAGGCCTAAGGAAAGGAAAAAAAATATTTACCTACCTACTTCCTTCCTTCCTTCCTTCCTTCCTTCCTTCCTTCCTTCCTTCCTTTCTTCCTTCCTTCCTTCTCTTTCTTTCTTTTTTCCTTCCTTCCTTCCTTCCTTCCTTCCTTCCTTCCTTCCTTCCTTCTCTTTCTTTCTTACCTTTGTCTCTCTCTCTTATCAATCAAAATTCTTCCTTTATAAGTGACTCAAGGTAGTCAACTTTTCTGATCTTCCTTCTTCTTTCTATTTTCCCTACAATGCTGTGAGGTGCAACCCTGTGAGGTGGGCCGGGCTGAGACCCAGAGGGACTTGTTTCAAAGTCGCCTAGCCGGCTTTCATGCCTGAGGCAGGACTAGAACACACAGTCACCTACTGATTGTCCCAAAGTTACCCAGCCTGCTTTCATGGCTTATCTTAGAATAGAACTCTCTCGGGGACTGACCTAAAGCCACCTATTGGCTTTCAATCCTAAGGCGGGACTAGAACTCCTCATCTCCTGGTCATTGGCCCAAAATCACCCAGATGGCTTTTGTGCCTAAGACAGAACTAGAACTCACCACCTCCTGATGACTGGGCTAAAGTCTTCCAGCTAGTTTGCCTAGGATTATGGGTTGGAGGGAAAAAGACCCCCCGGGGGGGAAGTGGGGATGACAGGTTTGTCACATGTTCAAATGAAAAGAACAGCTGACCTACCTGTCTCTATCTGTATCTCTCTATCTCTCCATATCTCTCTATCTCTATCTGTCTCTATATATCTATCTCTCTATCTGTGTCTGTCTGTCTCTCTATCTCTCTCTCTCTGTCTGTCTGTCTGTCTGTCTATCTATCTGTCTATCTATCTATCTATCTATCTATCTATCTATCTATCTATCTATCTAATCTATTTACTTTATCTATCTGTCTGTCTGTCTGTGTC